ACAGTGATGGTAGCACAGTAATGTGAATATACTTCCCCCTCCCTTTTTTTTTTTTTTTTTTTGGTGCCAAGAATTGAACACATGGTCTTGTGCATGCTAAGCATGCACTGTACTACTAAGGTACATCTCTAACACAATATGAATGTACTCAATGCCATTGACATGTACTATTACAAATGCTTAAAAAAATTTTTGTGTATAAATTTTATTCTGTGTATTTTACCACTGGAAGTAAATTATAAAAAGAAAAATGTAGCTGTGATTTATAGCCCTCCCAGCAGGCAAACATTTCCAAATTAAGCTAGTCTGAGGACCGTTTCATTCCCTTGATCTGAGCATGGGTCCTCAGGTATTACTCTGGAGGTCCCGTAGAAAGTCAAAGATCTGCTAAGTTCTCATTTTAGGTTTCCTGATTTGAAATTGAACAATATGAGGCACTTACAGCTGTTTTAAAGGTCATTCTCTTTCCCTTATTTTCCCAACTTTCCCCGTTACCAATACCCCAAGCCAGAGGTCCTGCTGGGGTTCTGAGAGATGATTTGGTTACTTCTCTGCCCAACATCAGAAACAAGAGAAAAATTATAAAAAGGAAAAGGGAATTCAATCGGTCTCCCTCAAATTGGGAAGGTAGCTAATCTGCCTCATTCCACCCTACGGAAGTGGTTAAAATATATAGGGGGGGTGGAGAAATGTAGTTGTATAGATTTAATCGGGCTATGCTAGCCAGATATTTTTCATAATTCCAGTTCCATTGATGCCCACCAATGGGCCAAAAGGACATCTTTTCAGTTCCATCCTCAGTATGAGGAAGCTGGGATGGAGGAATACTGGTTATCCGGAAATTGGGAAGATAGGGGCTTTTAATTTTAGAGGTGCTCTGCTACACCCGCACACACCTGCGTGGGTTTATTAATAAATCTTTTTGTACCACAGAATCATATCTGAATCCACCCCTGCCGCACTTGGTTATTTCTCGATATACTGCAGTGATCTTTTATCATCTCCCTGCCCCAATTCCTCTCTTACCATTCATTGTCTGTGAGATACCCAATGTGACATTCTAGAACCATAAATCAAACAATCTTAATTAAGCTTCTCCAGAGACCCTCAATATAATTGTTGTTTTCAACAAAATATCGGCAAAGATTTCTGCAAAAGAGCTTAAATGTGGTTAGACTTCCTATTTTCTGTTGCTCTGTCTTGCAAAAGCTGTTTGTCCCTGGATTTCATGTTACTTCTGTTTTTGTGGAAAAATGTGTAAATCCTCTTACTAATCTTAAAAAAATGAGACAAAGAGTACTCTGTGAACTCAAAGAAAAGAAATACTTTTATGTAGACTAAATAATTTTATGTAAATTGTAAACCTCCAAGCCCCTCTTCCCACTAGGTATAAAGTTCAAAGAATTTCTAGACTCATTGATCAGAAGAAAAAATTTGGGGGCACAAGCCATACTCTGAACCGGCTGCAGCTAATAAACCTGCTTCCTACTAATTCCTCGGGTGTCCAGGCTCCTCTGTCCTACATCAGAAGTATGCTATGCCCCACCCCCCACCTCCATCTCTCCGAAGAATGAAGTTAAAACAAATTTAAGAACTCGCTCTGCTGTTATGTTACCCTATCAGTGTTCAGGTAAAACTAAAACTTCTTATGCCCAAGGCCCTATCAGGTGTCTCCTCAGTTCTCCAAACCCAGCCTGTCCCCATTCTCTCATCCACCATGCTCTGGTTATGTTGTCCTGCTTTTGGCAACTCCAGCCTGCTTCATTCCTTCTCAGTTTGAGTCCCACTTTCCCACTTGTTTCCATACCCTAGATGTCTTTCTTTCTAGAATATTCTTCCTCTGGTTTCTGTACAGCTGTCCTTGAGCTGTACAGAAAAAATATACCCCCCTCAAGGAGGTCTTCCTGAGCCTCTGTGGGGGCTGGTCACGCTATCCTTTTGCCTCACTGGCATTTGTTGCTATCAGATATAATTTATTTACACACTGCTTTGTTTACCTCTTCCAACCAGAATGTGAGCCCCATGAGAGCTGGGGGCCTTGTTACAATGCTCACCTCTGTACCTGCCTGACGTAGAAGACACAAAGTATTTATTGAATGAGAGAACGAGTGTCAACATAGATGCAGTAAAGATGTAAGACTAGCATATGCCATTGAGCAAGCCTTGATTTCCTCCTCTTAATGTTCTCCTGTCTCATTTTCTGATGCTAATTCTACCCATGATCTTCTCAATTTCACTTCAGTTTTCAAGGGATTGTCAACTCTTTATTCTTTTTATGCTTTCCTATCATAAGCACACATCCCCCTTCTTGCTCCAGTCTCTAGTTCCCTCTGTAATCAATCACACATGCATGAGAGAGTGAGTCTGAGGCAGCATGTGTCACAGTCCCTCACTTCTGTGCAGGTAGACCCTATGCATACAGTGGTGTGTGCACTGGCATGTGTCTGGGGCAGACAGGATGAGGTCATCCCTCTGATCTCAGCTGACTCTCATGCTTGCTTCCAAGATCTGCCTGATCCTTCCAAGTTCTGCTGTTTCCTGAGCTCTGTGCTGGTCACTTGGAGGCCCTGCCCCTCCCAAGCCTTCAGCTTTCTATCTGCCCTGGGTGGGCCCTGGAAGAGTATTTTCTATTTCTGGGCCACAATGTAAGTCATCTTATGTCCCTTTTATACAATTAGTTTCTCTCACTGAGTTATTGGGAGCTCCATTAAAATAAGGAAGGAGATGAACATTTATTGAGTACTTCCTGTGTATCAAGTACTCTGCTAATCCATGTTTACATATATCGCTTATTTCTCATAAGTTGCCTGTGAATAAGTTCTCTTCATTTCCCCAATGAGGAAGATGAAGCCTAGAAAAGTGAAACAAATTTCCAGAGCCTGGCTGATACCAAGATCCTGCAGAGCACATGAGCATAAGGGAGCAGAAGAAGGTGGGCTTACCTGGAGCAGGGTAGCCATGTAGGGAGAAGCAGAATCACGTAGGTGAGAAGGGATCTGTGTATAAAATGACTACCATTTTCATCTAGCAATACTGAGAAGTAGTGAGAGCCTGTGATTTTAGAAGGGTACTTGGGAAGAATAAATAACTCCTGTCTTTTAGAACTTAATTTAACTCCTAGCTTTGTCTTCTACTGACTATGTGCTCTGCAAGTTACTTAGCCTCTCTGAACCTTAGTTCCTGCACCAGTGAATTGGGTACCACTACCTGTTGCAGCAGTAATTATATGCATATGGAGTACTGAACATAGTGCTTGCCACATTCCAAACAATAAGTAGTAACTTGTAATGGTTTTTCATTATTCTCCCTCCTACCCTAATATTATACTGAGGATGTAATGATTCCTTCCATGTCTGTTTTGTCCTGTGGTCCTGAAATAAGTCTGTTGCTTCTGTAGCTGATGTAATTGAAAGAGCTGAATAAACTTTGGATGAGCGAAGGAAGCGGAAATCTTTGTCTTAAGCTGCACATGTTTCTACCTTCCATATTGCAGATCTGGCAAAGTTACTCTTGCTACCTGAAGTGCAGATATTTACTTTTGTGGCTATGCTAAGTACCCTTGGTTTTTAAGAGGAGGGATCATTTTTTTATTTAAGAAAATTTTATTAAATATTGTTGCACAAGAACTTGGCCTCTCATTCAGGCCAATGTAAAATCTAATGTAACAAGTCAGCCACTCCAAGTAGAGGTATATCTCCCTTTTTGAGAATGGCTTGGGCAGAAGACTTAGAATAAGTGGAATCTGTGTATCTTAAATCCCATTTCTCCTGAATTTTTTAATTTTTTCAGGTAAGGTGTGTAGTGAATGATGTATCTTCTAATTTGGCTTTGAGGTTATCTATATGCATAAAAGAACCTTGTCATTTAAAGGTATCCCACAAGAAATCCTATTGTAATGTGTGTAATCACTGGGTGTTTGTCAAGTGGGTGAAGTGCCAAACCTGCTGGGTTGCTCCAGGGATAGAGCCAAAGGCCAGGGACAGGCAGGGCCTGGAAAGTCGAACCCCACCCTGAGTGAATTCCTGTGTCCATTGCCCAAAGGGACAGAATTAACTCAGTCTTCCTCAGGCCGATTGCCAACCTAGAAAGTGAGTCTGTGGATGGGACATGACAACCATCCTCTAGGTATTCTGAGCATGAACTGTGCCTTATGGACAGGAGCATCATAATTCAGTCAACATCGCACACAAAGGGAGAGAAGGCATTTGGTTCAGGAGGAGCAAGCTAATGGAACAAACCAGGGCAGTGCCATTTGTGTGCACTAAGTCAGTTGGGTGAAGTAGGAGGGTTGTGATGTGAATGGTCCACCATTGCGCAGGTCTTACTAAAGGCTCCGGTGGGTGGAGCTGCTCTTTCGCCTCCCTGCTCAACACAGACCCAACTATGAAACTGGGGTCTTTCCAGGTGGAAAGCTGCAGGGATTTTACCTGGGGGAAGCTCTGAAGACCAGGGTGGAACCTCACAAGGGTCACTTTGCTGTTGGCTAGTATTATGTGCTTTCTAAACATGTCTCATTTATTTTTGAGGAAATGAGTATCTGAGGAAATTGTCATTATAACAGGTCTCCTCTATTGGAAAAAAGAGTGGAAGGTACCTGGAAATCCACCTGCATGACCTTGATTTTTAGAGAGCTTAGACTTGCTGAGATACCTTGCTCTCAGAGAGCCATGGCTTGACATTAGAATCACGAGGAGGGCTTGATAAATTTCTGGGCCCCATCCCTAGAAATTTTGAATCATTATATCTGGACATTTGCATTTCCAACAATAATGCTGCTGCTACTTAAGGAGTCACACTTTGAGAATCACTGCCATGGAGTAATTCATTTCTTCATCATGGTTTGAATGTGTGCATATATATTATTTGTGTGAGTGTATATATACATGTATATACATACATATATACATATATATCCATACATATATATGTATTTTTTGTCAAGTTTACTATTCTGTAAACCTGTTTTGTTGAAATGCTTGTCTTTTTCCTTCTCTGAACAGGCATTTTGATGTTGGACTACATAATTTCTTAATCAGGTAAGTCAGTATTTTTTATTTTTAATACCATTGAATAGCATTTCTATCATGGAAAATTGTAATAGAAAATAAATCCTCATTAAATATCTTGATAAAATAATGGTAATTATACACTTGCAAGAAAAAAAAAAACTGCTAAAACTATTTTTTTTTTGTTTACCACAATCACACATGATTAAGTAATCAAGGAAATCTATGTTTAAAGAGATTTGTATCTGAACTAATAGTTAACCAAGATCTTAATTCTAACTACTAGGCTTTTGGAAAGACAAATAGACAAGGAAGCAGTGCCAGCTTATTCAGACATTAAACAGACCATTTAATGTTTCTCCATTGAATTTAATCTTTTGAAGCTGAATTTAATGCTTAGTATATTCAAAATTGTTAAATATCTTGTTCATAATTGAAAGATTACAGATGGTCATTTATATCCTAGCTTATTGGTGATTTTTACCAGAGTTGGCTTATGGCATATTCATTTCAAATAGCTATTAGAAAGATTAAATGGCAATATACCAAATTGTAACAGTACTTGTAAGAATTTATGTGATTTAAAAAAAAAAACATCAACTTGGGCTGGGGATGTAGCTCAGTTGGTAGAGTGCTTGCCTCACATGCACAAGGCCCTGGGTTCAATCCCCAGACGCGCGTGTGCAAACACACACACACACACACACACACACAAAATAAAACAAACCAAAAAAACCCCATCAACTTGCCGAATTTCCTAAATTTTTCATGTTGCGCATGTATTACTCTAAAAATGGTAAAAAATGGTTAAAATGCTTATTAAAAATATAAAGGAAGCAATAATGGTTGTTGAAGTGAACCACTGTAAAGATTATAGGGAAACTGTACATGATTATGTATAGTGATCTGCAAATGTGATTTTTAAATGCTATTTCATTCAGATAGCCTGCTAAGCTCTATAGGTCAGTTACAATTTTTGTATAGGTGTTATGGTGGTTCATTTTCCCATAATGCATGACCATCTATTAGCAAGATGTTCTCTGAGGGGAAATGTCCAGAATTCATATCACCTTTATTTACCCTCTCTGCTGGATTGCATATGGCAGTGTCCAAGAGAGGTCACGGGCACCTTGTCTTCTTTTTCAAGCCTCACTCCAAGGATGCACATTTTGAAGTCTCCTTTGCTTACCCCAGACTGTGGGAATATGGATTATGCTGTTTTCTTCCAGGATTTCAATCACAAAAAAAAGAATCTCTTCTTGATACACCAAGGGTGAATTAATTTTAGTAGTAGAGATAGTTACCAGCAGTCATGGAAAAGGTAGACGGGAGAAATCTTTATCTCAACTGACCAAAAAGTGTCTGTATATATTTCATGGAATGGTTAGGATTTTTGACTTGGTGGCTTTGGTGCTTTGGAAAACTCTTATGAAACTGCTCACCTAATGCCTTTTGATGAGTGCAAATTTGTACTTAATTTCTCTAACTTTGAGGGCAGAGGGTCATGCACCTATTAATGGTTAAATTCAGAGTCTTGTATAGAATTAACCTTCAACATTTGTGGTAGGAGTGAATGAAATGAGACAGAGGGTAAGTTGAATTGAAGTTGTCCCATGACTTATTCAGCACATAGTTCACAATTCTAGCATGCACCACTTATTTGGATATGTCTGGGATACTGTCATTTGCAAAAATAGATGTCTGATTAAAAGGCTTTCCTGAGTTTATTGCTTGCTAAGCTTGTGGTCTGAGCAAGAGGTGGTCTGCCTCTGGGGTCCTGTTTCCCTTTCCTCGTCTGGATTCCCATCATTTCTCCTATGTTGGATCTGTGAAAAGGGAAGAATAGTCAAGTGCCTGTAATGTAGCTGGTGCTGGGATCACCATGTCCTGGCCTTGTGGGGCAGATACTGGAAGATGCTCTAGCTAGTCACTTTCTTCAGTGTTCTGTGAAGCAAGGAGAACTGGGGAGCTGGGTTTCACTCTGCCTTGCCATCTTCCTAGAGTTTTTCTTGCCCTTACTCTGGGAGGGGCAGAGCAAATCAACACATGCATTACTTTCCTAATTGGGGAATGAGAGGTCAGTTTCCCCTTCTTGCAGGCATCCCCAGTCTCTATGAGCATCACACTATAGCATCTCCACGTCCCCAGGCTAACAACATAGACTTTTTCTTTCCTCCTCCCACCTTGGGAGCAGCAGGAGGGAGTGAAGAGATGGGTAGATAGAGGTGGTTTCTGGGAACAGAGTCAGTTCTCTGGATAGCTGGCTTTATTTGTACCTTGCTGGGTATGGTGGTGCATGCCTGCAATCCGAGCAATTCACGAGGTTGAGGGGGGAGGATCACAAATTGGAGATTCAACCTTGGATATGTCTGAGATAACTGTCATTTGCAAAAATAGATGTCTGATTAAAAGACTTTCCTGAGTTTATTGCTTGCTAAGCTTGTGGTCTGAGCAAAAGGTGGTCTGCCTCTGGGGTCCTGCTTTCCTTTTACTTCAGGATGCTATGAAAAGACCTAGAGCAACCTTTCTCCTGGTTTCTCTAAAACATTCAATTTTCAAGTTCCCCTTTTCTAATTTTTCATTGATTTTATGTTTAAAGATTTAAAAAACCAGAAAAGTATTCATATACATATTGTTTTTTATATTGTTTGTATTTAAATCTCATTTCATATATATAATTTCAAATAAATATATATTTCAAATATACATAATTCTAAATTAGACCCTGTCTTAAAATGTAAAAAGAACTGGGGATGTACCTCAGTGGTTAAGCAGCCCCAGGTTCAATAACTGGTTACCTCACAACCCCCCAAAAAGAAAAAGAAAATGAGCTCTTTGTTCTTCAGAATTTGAAGGTAAAGTCTGGGCACTGAACACAATTTAGGACTGAATCCATTACTGAGAACTGTTTCACTGGAATTATGACCCTGGAGTAGTTTGAAGAGGGTGAGGTCCAGTCGAGTGGGAGGTAAGGGAAAGGAAATGACTATTCTTAAAGAGTTGAACTATGAGGTGGAGAAAGGAGAATGAGGACAGCTGGTGGAGAAGGTGGTTGAATGGACTTTTTTTTTTTTTTTAAATGGGAGAAACTCCTTTGTTTAGCTACCAGAACTACTTCAGTGCTCTTTAGGTGCAGAGAAAGCGGTTTCAGTTGGGTAGAGAGGCACAGAGTCTGATTGCTAGGGGGCAGTCCGTGGTCCCATGGTTATTCTGGAGAGCAATGGCATTTTTCTGCAAAGCTACTCCTAGAGGAAACCTTAGGGGTTGTAAGAGTCAAGGGGATGGCACCTGATAAATCTAAGGGAGGAAAACATATTTCCCTTTGCACAAGAAATGTGGGAAGAATTGGCATCATTTTTTGCTTTTGTTTCTAGATTAAGTACATGTATTGGCTCCAACGAGCTCTTAAAGCATTCCCCGATTTGACAGACTATATTGAATGCCTAGTGTTTGCATAAAAGAAACTGGAACATGCCTAAAATTAATCAGTTGCATCTTTTACGTTGATGGAAGTCACATTGGCTTCTCTGGAGTGATGTAAATTTCCCCAGAGCCCTATCTGTGATCTCGGCCTGGGCAACTGCACAAAGCAACAGGCTTCCTTGTGAGTTGTTGGAGTGCTGCTCTGAGCTCTGGGGCAGGAAGGAGCTGTCACCTTGAATGAAATGTGAGCGTTTTGGGTATAGGTGCTTTAGGGCGACTGTGGGAAAACTCGGCTCAAGCCTTCTACATCTTATGGCAATCAAAGGGAAGACTTTGAGAAAGCAGGGATCATAAGTCACCTGAGAATAACCTGAGAAGACTGTTGGCTGGAATTGTTCATATGTCACTACAAAAGAGAGAGAAAGGAAATGACCAACTTGGAAAGAGATTCTAGAATAAAACAGCTGTTTCATTATAGATAATACAGCAGCTTGTTTAAATCTATCTTAGCTTAGGCAAAGAATTAAAAAGGATTCGTGGGTTTTTTTACATTGTACCCTGGCCTTACCACCACTCCTTCCCTTTAAGAAATGGGATCTTGCTATGTCACCTAGGCTGTCCTTGAACTCCTGAGCTCAAAACAGTCCTTCTGCCTAAGATGAGAGAATGAGTTTAAGGGATACAGGTTGCTATGAGAGGACCTACAGCAACCTTTCTCCTGGTTTCTCTAAAATATTCAATTTTTCAAGTTTCCTTTTTCTAATTTTTCATTGCTTTTATGTATACAGATTTGAAAATCAGAAAAGTATCCATATATATTGTTTGTATTTAAATCTCATTTCTATATATAATTTCAAATAAGGATCAAGCTTTTTTCCCCCCTTAACAAAATTTTCTTTATTATTTTTTCTGTATTTATTCCAAAGAGGTGTCTGTCCATGAGAGCCGCTCCTTCTGTAGTCGGGAGGATGTCTTTATCCTGTTAGCAGAAATGCAGAGTGTGAGAATCCTTCCTTTGATACTTTTTTAAGCAAATAGAAAAAGGCCATGGGTCTCTTGCATGGCTCTGAAGTTATTTAAGAAGATTTCTGGAGTTAATATGGTTCTTGGAAGATAATTTTCATTTCATAAGTAAACAGATTCTACATATGGAGTGGCATTCAGTATAGTGCAGACTGAATCCTATACAAGGCTAGCATTTATGTGAAACAGCACATGCCCTTCTGAAGCATGATTGATTCTGAAGAAGAGAGAAGGTAGCCAGGTTGGGAGGGTGGCTGTTCACTTCCTGTGCTGTCCTTTCTTCCTCTTCTGGAGTTTGGTCCGGGCTGGCCTTTCACCAGGCTCTGGAGTATCTTTGAATTGTCAGAAGGGAAGGAAATGTCATTAAAGTGTGAATGGATGGTTCACTGAGTGCTGAAATGAGCAAAACTGACATTGTTGCCTTTGGCTTTTCCTTGTTGACACCCTATGTCTGACCTATTAATAAATCTAGTTCTACAGAAGAATTGAAGAGTCGTTTGGGGGTAAAAAATAAATCGGGGTTCTGAGCTTTATGGATCACAGTGTAGTTTTTCATTTTATCCTGTACTACCAAACTTACTGGT